ACCTAAAAGAATATTTAGATGATTTCTATTCATATTTCACTTCATTTCATGAAGAAAAAGCAAAATATGAGATCAAAATAGATGGAAAAAAAATGCAACGAAAAGAAAAACGGTGTGGAAGGTAAAAATAATTAATTATTAATTTACAATAAAAATAATTTTTTTAAATCAAAATAGACTTAACAAATGAGATTTAGAATCAAGGGCGCCAGCAGCGGGGTGCACTTGAACCCTCCCCCCCTGGCTTTTTTTTTCTAAATAATTAAAGAGATACAGAAAAACAATTCTGTTATAAAAAAATTTTATTAAAAATATTTTTATTCAAAAACAAATATTTAAGTAATTATTGATACATAAAGAATTAATTAATCAAACAAGAATTGTAATCGTCTTGTTTGCTGTCCAAATCTGTTTACAACTTTTTCAATGAATTCTGACTCATCTTAGATTCTTTTCTTATGCACATTGAGCATGCACAAACTTGGCAGATATCTAAGTTATTTTTTTAAATTCCATTTAATAAAATATAAATAATATTTTCTATTAGTTACTTAGTTTAACAAAGGTGTATAACACAAACTGACTTCTCACAACTGTAAAATTTCATCAACACAATAAATACCAATGTTAAGCGTGCACAAACACGTTAGTATACGAAACTACTGTTTGTAGTTATTTGTGTTTCAAAGTCAGTAGCTACACTAGCGCCATCAATACAGTTTCTCGTGGCAAAATTTGCAAGTACAGAAATTCATACTCTTTTTAAAATATCTTGTTAACAATGAAGAAATGCATCTTGCAGCACCCCTTTAATATTATTCTGCTGGCGCCCTCGCTCAGAATCTTGCTTTAAACACAAAAAATAATTTTATTATGTTAAATCTTTTTGGCACGGTACAATTAATTATGTATTTTGGTGCTGGGACTAAAATATCAAAGGTACATCTTGGAAATTTTTTTGTAAATCAAAATGTGAAATATTTCTACACTTTTGAGCAAGATAACCTGTTCTGAAACAGTTTACTTTAATTATTATTTATTCCATTTTCTATTATTAGAGTGAATTTTAAAAAAAAAAAAAAAAAAACTGTACCGGTTTGAGATTTACTTAACGTGGTTAAAAATTACAAATGATGTAGCCCTTCATTTAACAGCCAATAGCTTATTAAAAACAAATTAATAAGTTAAAAGTTGGTACAGTAGGGAATCGATTATCCGGAACGATCGGGACCCTTGCTATTCCGGAGAACTGATTTTTCCGGTTTTCTGAATCGCTACAAAAAGCCATTTTTTTATTGTTAAACCCAACTAAAAAAATAATTTTTTTTGGAAATAATCTTAAAAAGAAGAAAAAACGATGGAGTAGTACACTAATGATTATTTCCAAAATGATGGTAAGGTATCTTTCAAAAAAGAAAGAAAAATCCCAGGAGGAAAAAAAAAATTTTTTTTAAAAAAATGGCGGGAAAATTTATCGAATTTCGTTCCGGTTTTTTGGTTTTCCGGTTTTCTGATTTCCGGATAACGGGTTCTGTACTGTATTTTTAAAACTTCAGTTTTTTATCTTGAAAACGATACCTTTGATTAAATTTAAAATTTTGATCATTTACATTGCTGCAGAATTGCCCATAGATAGACAGATATTAGCCCATAATGGTTGGAACAGTTATAATTGTTGATTAAACAATTGTATTCACATAAATGAGAAAGATAAAAATATGAAAGTGTTTCAGTTTTCCTTAAATGCAATTTTTAGTTGTGTGAGTCATAATTATAACAAATTGATCCATTTGTCTAGATAAAAAAAATTAACTAACAGGAAGTAGAGAAAGTCCAAAGCAAAAAAAATCAGCATTCAATGAAATAAATATAATGAAATTGCAAATCATTCAAAATACAGTAAGCTTACACAAATACTAAAATAACTAATATACAGAAAGAATTTGGAAGTTTATAATAATATTATAAAAAGCAACAAATGAAAAATTATTTTTGATATATTAGTAGTATATAATCAGTCATTATTATCGCTTAAACCCAAATACTGACTCCACGACCCCTGAATTGTTGTTGCAAAATTTTCAGTTCTTTTTAAAAATCTTCCTTATTTTTTCTTCAATTTTGCAGACTCAGCAACAGCTTGCTACAATAACTACATTGCTTTATTTCTTGTGAAGAACAGAATTCCTTTCCCATATTTTTTCAAGGTTATTTTTACAATTAGAAAAATATATCTTGATATTTCAAAGGATTAATCACAAGCATGTTAATTTGTGGAGACAATATTTTAAGTCATAAAATGAAACACAAAAACGTACTTTCTCTGGATGAACCTTTTTTCGACAAATTTGGATTCTTAGTTTTAAAAACATGGAGGATTACAAAATATGGCTTCAGTAGTTAGTCAGGAAAGCGGTCAAAAGTTCATGCAATCGAACGATTTAACTTCTTGCAAATTTCACCATATCTCGGAAACATTAAAAGGACATTAAGAACTTTCTGCACGCAATCATAAAACTCTCCAATTCAAAGATAATTTCGTGTAAGAAATAATTTTTAATGATTATTTATTACTTTCAATTTCATTAATAATGGTCAAAAAAATTTCAAAATATAAAGTATACAAATCTTTACATCTTTTTAAATTATATTCATTCAAAATGTCAAAATACAATATTTGAACAAAAGTGGTCGAACAGATCTGAAAACTTGACTTTTTAAATTAGAAACTAGGATAAATTTTGCATTTTGTCATTTAATACCACACAGTTTAAATTGATTAAAAAGTCTGAACACCCTAATACTTTAAAATGTTTCAATCATTATTACATCAAATGAACAAAAATAATAAATAATTATCAAAAATTATTTTACAAGGAGCTATCTTTAGCACACATAACAAGTTTTATAATTATGTACAGAAAGTTTTTGATTTACCTAATAAATACTCAAAATATGGTGAAATACTCAAATAGGAAAATAAACATTAATGACAATGAACTAATTTATAAATAAAAATTATCTTAAAAAAAGTTTATGAAACTTTGATTGCATTCTTCAAGACTAAAGAAAGGTTTGTTTGATTCTGCTCTACAGATTATAACCATAATATTATCTAACTCTCATAAAATGTGTAACTTACCAAACCAGTGCACTGACAAACATCAATAATATAGCTTGAAAGAATTGAAACTATCACTACAATTGTATTCAAAACTGTTTAAATATAAAATATTTTAGAAAATCGAACGAATTAGTGTAAACAAAAAAAGTTACTCATAAAAATCACTCTGTTAACAATTTAAACTCATCTAATCAGATTTGGGGGATATTTCGTATCATGATCTGCCACGCCAACTACAATCGCCAGTGAGCCAAACGGGTATTAAACAGGAACATTTTTACATGTAGAGGTCTGCTTGGAGGTGGCTATGAGTTATACCCTTCGCGTTGGTCCCTTTTTATGATGTTTTTATAATTTTATCTTCCTGCGGGAAGTTGCCAAGACTTGGAGATTATTCTGTTACAGATCACAATACAGACATCTACCTACTTTATAATAATTCTTCTAAACTAATGTTTGAAGAAAGTTCATTTAATTAATAATACCTAAAACAAATTTGTTATATATTTTTAGGGGTACTTTTCCAATAAAAGTAAATTAAACAATATATCTAAATGACATGTTTTTGTTTATCTGGGGTGATGGCCTTCTTGTTTCGTTGAATTTACATGCGCCAAGTAAAAGTCTCTGTTACTCTATAAAAAATCATATCTTTCCAATAACTTGTGACTCTACAGAAATGTCTTTTACCAAATTTATTTTAAGAATTTCAGTTATACTGCAGATGTTATACACTAATAAAGTAGAATGTTGTCAAACATTAGTATATTAGATTCAAGATGTAGTTTCTACAATAGTAACCTCTTTAATTTGCTCTCAAGGACCCAATATTCATGCATGCTTTTTTTATGACACAAATTAAGAGGATAATAATATAGTTTATTTTTTAATATTATATTAAAAATTCATTATTTTTGTACCAATCATTCATAACGATACACAGTAACATTTTAAACCCTAGTTTAAAATCAACATTTTAAAGCCTTATTTATATTTCTTTTAAAAAAAGCATTGAATATTTCATTCAATTCCTCGAAAACTATAATTTAAGATGAAAAATGAAAGCTACATTAAGAAAACACTTAAATAGGTACTTGGCACAGGCATTAAAAAAAATGAGTTACTAAAAATTATCCAGATTTCCAAATCATGAGTCATATATTTACATACCGCTTTAACAATCCTTTTCTCGGGTGGTGACTTTATAAGCCAGCCCTCGTGCACCAAACATTCCATTCTTTAAAAATACTTCTTTAATCAAAAGTCGATATAAATTTAAATCAATCCATAGTTAATTTCACAATAAATTCGATAAAAGTTCTTTTTATAAGACAACCATAATCAACTAGGAGCAATAACACGTCTCCATACAGAAGAATGTTTCCTTTCAATGAGTAAACACGGAGATTTGGATGTAAGAGGAAAAAGATGACGCATAAACGAATAATAAATGAAGCGATGGTCACTAGAGCAAAAACTTAACTTTATCTTAAAAGTAAACTAAAAAATAGTGAAAATAATCAAAAATCAAAACAACGACGAAACTATCTAAAAAACTTATTGGATTGCCATCGCGATTGTATAAATGCCAAGAAAAAACATCTTACTAATTGGATGGTGGCAATGTCATTTATTTCATTTTTTTAATTTTATTTTATTTAATGCCTTTTGTAATTCAAATTTTCATTGATAATTAGATAAATATCGCGATAAAATATTTATTTAGTATTGCTTTTGAAATTATAGAGGTCTATTTGTTAAAATTCTTTTATTTAGTATCGATGGGAAAAAAGGTTTCGGTTCCAAAACCAAATTCCAAAACTAAAAGACTACTTAAAAAAAATAGATTTACAAACAAATATTTTAAATGTTTAGCTTTATTCAGCACAAAAGGAGAAAAATTAAGCACTTATTTAGATGCATATGTCTAATCAATAGTATTTGAAAGAAAAAATTTAACTTTTTAATTTTACGCTAGTGTGAATGGGAATGGTGTCTGCTTCTAATTAAGAAGATGGAGAACGTGCCAATGGTTGTCAACACAAACATAAACACCAAATATTGTATTATATTTGTGGTCCCTCTCATTAAATCTTCAATAATTAACATTAAGAACCTAAAATGAAATCAAGGATGTAAATTTATAAGATGGGATCGAATGCATCGGTTCTTCAATGGCATTGCAAAAATTGCACTTCCATTAATCCTACTGAAAGGAGATCTTGTTTGGTATGTGGTGATCGTCGGCGGTCTGAAGATCCCGGGAAAGTGATTACTCCATGTCCCCGAAAAGTAAATGAGCCTTCTCATTCTAAGAAATATGGGCAAAGTTCTCGTTTACAAAAAAAGGAAGTGGAAGAAATAGAATTATCTTATATTGTTTGTGCCCCAACTCCAGACAGAGCAGTGAACTCCGTAACAGCTGATGGCGAAGTTCGGTACGTAGTTTGTAAATATAAGTTAATGCAATGAAATTAAAACATCTGTGTGATTAATCTAAGTTAAAGTGGTTAGTATGGTTTATAAAATTAATAAATCGATTAAAAATATGAATTTAAAATTGTGTCTTTGATACTTCATCCTAACTAATATATTTTAATTTATTAAGTTTTGAAATAGATTTTTTGCATTACATTTGCGATATTTACTCTATTATTTCTAACCTTTTATAGTTCATAAATAGGAGAAATATGATAAATGCAATAAATAAGTCTTTTTTTTATAAGACAATTTTTTTTTTTACAATGAAAATTAATATTTTATGTTTGAAATAATTGGTGCACAATTTGAAAATTATGCAATATTTAACTCTATTATTTGTAACCTTTTATAGTTCATAAATAGGAGAGGTTTGATACATACAATAAATGAGTCTTTTTTTTTTTTTTTTTACAAGATGAATTTTTTTTACAATGGAAATTAATATTTTATGTTTGAAATTATTGGTGCACAACTTAAAAATTATGCATGAATTTTGAACTGCACTCATTACTTACAAATCAAAAAAATAGATTTAATTATTATGTTTACGTTATTTTGTTATGCAAGTTTTTAATACATATTTATTTCCATCCTCAATTTTAATTTTAAAAGTTTTTTTGGTGGTTAAAAATGTTGATAGAAATGTGATGCATAATCAAATTTGATTTCTGGAAATACTATATCGTTAATTATATATGAAGGAAACCATAAAAACTCAGTCAAATGGATGTAGTTTAATTATTTATCTTTATCACTCAAATTAAAAATATGTTGGTGACATTTTAGACTTTAGCTATTAAGCAGCATTGTTAGTAAATTGAAATTAGTAATTATAATTATGTCGCATATTCTGCTATACTTAAAATTTCAATGATGTTTGTTGTTAACTAATAAGGAGAAATGTTTCATTTTAACTGAAGAACAAATTACCCTTCCAATTTTTATATGAATTTTAATTTACTTTCAAAAATGATTTAGATTATCGTTTCAAAATTTATTTTAGCATTAGAATTTGTAACAACTTTGTAAAATTTATTTACTCTTTCTTTATATTATATTTATTAGAATCTATTTAAAAGTGTCACACCCTTAGTTAAGGCTATAAGTGAGAAACATGCTTTCAATCTTTTGGCATTTAGCTTGATGAAGCCATTCTGATTCATCTATTGTACCAGTCTCTAAACAAAGGGTTAAGATAAGAGATTTTATTTTTTATGAGAATGCATATTTAAAGCAAGTTGTAGCTTGTTTTTGAAGAAAATAAGTGATGTGAATCAAAATGTTTTTAAAGAAAATTAACAATTAGAAGAAATTAGGACACCAGAAAATTTACACTTAAAGCATAAATAATGACTTTTAAATACTTTTGATTAATTTGCATTCTATGTACTTGTTAAAATTAACTTGCATTTTTAATGCCTGTATTATATTAAAGTAGTATTTGAGAATGCATCCTTACTTCACGTAGAATGTTTACCATTGAATAGAAACTTCAGTAAAATAATAACTTTTTCTCAGAACAACCGTAGTAGATATTAATATTGGTTAATGCACAACCACATATTTTGGTTGAGCCAGTTATTTTTAAAATTAATACTATATAAGTTAACAATAGCAACAACAAAAAAATCTCTAAAATTTTTTTCATCCTCATTGTTTATTTTGCAAGCAATGCATAAGAACATCACATTGATTCATCATTAAATGGAGATTCATTATTTGCTGTAATAGGGGGGCTCAACCTTTTCTAATGAAGAGCCACTTGCACAGCAGGTAGATTAACGAAGGGCTGCACGCATATTTAGTCATGTTAATGGAAAATATGATAATTTTTATCTAAACATTATTGTTCTAAGCACTAAGTTTTTTTTTATCAGTAAACATAATAACAAATTAGCAGAAAATCAAATACTTTTAATTATTTGAATTTATTTAAAAATAAAAAAACTGATATTTTTTAAAAAAAAACCTTTTCACAATAAGTTAATATGTATATAATTGGGGGAGTTATAAATTCTAACGGAAAAAAAGAGGTAGAGCTTACAAGGAAAAGCAATAAACATATTTTTTAGAGTAATATAAATTTTAGTTTAGTTTAGTTTTTATAAAGGAAAATTTATAATGTTTAAACAAAATCTAAAAATTAAGCAAAGCCATTATAGTACAAAATAAAATGCAATATTTTTTGAAAAAAAAATTCCTAATGTTCAGAAGCTCTCACGAGCCGCACTTCAACAATCGACGGGCCGCATGCGACCCGCAGTCTGCTGGTTGAGCACCCCTTTGCTGTAATCTCAATTACCTAATGCACAATCAACTTAACTAGTAAGATGTTTCAAGCTCACATTGAATTCTTGCAAAAATAAATGTAATGGTATTTTAATAAACGTTTCATCCCTCTTTACTACTTTTTATTTATTTTTTTCATTATTTATGTTTGCATTTTTTTTTAATTTTTCTCTCGGCATAAGGAAAAAAAGATTTAAGACTATTTATTCATGACTTCTTTGTTTTTATTGATGTGCATGAGGTATTTAATTGTATTTTCACTCAAAATAGACTCTTTGAGCTGCAATGAGGGTTGCATCGTGTTCATTCTGACATATTAGTTCAGGTGTCCCAACAACTTATTTTTAGGAAAAACTAGTGCTAATCGTAAAATCCAACTGAGAGAGAACATTTTATTTGTTATTCAATTACTGTTTTTTTTCTCTTTTTGTAGAACTTTTACCTAATTATTATCAAAGAATGAACTTTTTTTTTAAAAAATATATGTATAATTTTTTTAATTTGAAAATATATCAGGGTTGTCTAAAACGAAAGTGTTCATGTATGATAATTTCAATACAATAGCAACCCTTCAGAGTTCTGAAGAAAGGAAGGAGTGACCGTAATTTCATATAACTGATGAATCGGTTCTTTTTAGTGTATTTTAAGTGGATGTAAATTTGTGAATTCAGGCTAAAGATGAATGCATGCAGAACAACAAGAAAAGTTCTTCTTTCTATTTTTGGGGACAGAAGTTGATTACATTATCAAATAGAGTGTTTCACTGTTGTCACTGATCGCATCCTAATATTTCGTTTACGGCAACAGTGGAATCATTGAAACCGTGACCGTTGCATTTAACCTAATCTTTGCAAATCCAATATTCAGTCTTGACAAAAAATTTTACACTGTGTTTAAAATTTGTTCTAGACATTGTTTGTCATATACATCCCTCATTTTGACAAAAAATTGCATTAGACTTCCTCTCTGTGCTAAAATTTATGCTATATGTATATGACTGTATCTAACTTGATTTCCTTTAATTTATCAGCATCATTTAAGAGAATAAGCTGCAGTCTTTGGAGGATATGTGGAGAACATCTTATAAAGCCATTTGATTACCAAAGCTGGTTATATACATACACTAATTGGGAAAACTTATCAGTTGCTTTGGTGACTGGCTGAGCAAGAGTTCTATTCCCACCACTGCATATCTCATTAAACATCATTAGTGAACAAAACATAGTTTAAACTAGCTAAGACTGCATTGCTGTTTACAATAACAGTACGTCTCTCCTGTATCATTTGATATAGTATCTTTAATATGACAAATTTAAATGCCTTCACTACTTTGGTAAGACTCTATGATTTTCTTTGTCTTGCTAATCTTTTCATCAACAAGGCTACAAATGTACTTAATCAATGTACAGGTCTGGTACCAACTTCACTCATCATCAAAGCATGTAAGCATATCAATCAATCAACTGCTTTGTTCACTCTTTTCTTTAGATATGAGTATGTGCATTTTACCTAATTAAGTATTTTAGCTTATTAAAGTTAATAATTGAGATGACCAGTAGAATAAGGGCTTCATTCCAAACTACTATTAGCTACAACTCTCATTCTTCAGCAGAAATTTTAGAGTTAGTACAAAAATTTTGTAAACAATTTAATCTTACGGAAAAAGTTTTATGTTCGTTCAGTCCTCTACTTATCGCTCATTTATTTTCTCAACTCTTTATCTAATGTGTTCTATGTAAAAAACAAAAATCATACAATTTAATTTATGTATCTTTTTTTTACAACCCATAGTTATTTTGGATTAACTGTGAGCTGTGCTCTTACAATCCTTTTTTTTATCACTCTTTATTTTACAAACTGTTAATCCTACAGAACTGGGTCTAATTTGCTTTTAGGAAAAAAATTCTAGTTTATTTTGCATAAAAAGCTTTTTTTTTTCCCTAATCCTTTTAATCTTACAAAAACATGTTCAGTATATTTTTTGTAGATAATTTTACATCGATTTTATATACTTTTTTCTTACTGAAACCAATATTTAGTTATTTTGGAATAACTGTAAAAAGAGGTATTTTAGTATGTTTTCAATCCTCTATTTAGTGCTCTTATTTTTCCTTCCTTTTTTTTTTTTTTTTTTTTTTTTTTNTTTTTTTTTTTTTTTTTTTTTTTTTTTTTTTTTTTTTTTTTTTTGTTTGCAAATTTTTAATCCTGCAGAAATATGTCTATATGGTGTATTGTAAAAAAAATTATCTAGTTTTTTTTTTGTACATAAACTTTTTTCTCCCCCTTATCTCTATAGTTTATTAAAAAAAACTTAAAAATTGTACCCCCTCAATATTGTAAAATATAAAAGGCTTTACTTTTTAGAGACTTATGATAGTGTATATCTGTAATCAAAACAAAGTCAGTATCCAGCCCCTAATATTTATAAAGACGCACTTGACCTCTAAGTCATTTTTTTAGAATTGAAAAGGTTTAATGCTGACATCTTTTACGATATCAATTTCATATATTTTTATAGATCATACTTTCCAGTTACACTAAAATACTATGGAATGGATGGTAAGAAAGTTATAGCCCCACTATAGATCGAAAAGTGGGCAGTTAAATTTTTAAAATTTCTTAGACCAAGTTCTGTCTAGAGTAGGCTAGAAAAGATTGTTAAAAAAAT